ACATTTACAGATGCATTGCAGTGAAGTGGGTCCAGGACTTAGGTCAGCAGCTAGACAGTTATTTTTTTTACATCTAGAAAACTTAGCACAGCTGGGGTTTAGTGGTCCTATTTAACCACAAGCAAAGGTATTCTTAAAGTCGGTACCATTATGGAGCCAGAGTTGTCTTTGGGACAGAGCAGCAGACAGATAAGGATCATCTGGTACCTTCTGGTATTGGTCTGTGTATCTGGACAGATCGCTTCCATTTTCCTGTCTTACATGCTAGAATAGTCACTTAAGTACAATGACCTGCTGTTTGAGCTGTCAGAAACTGCTGTTGGGGTGTAGCCTCTACTAATATATTTCTGTTACTTCATTCTTGGGGGTGATGCGGGGATTGTTGTGGTTCTTACAAGACTTGTTACTCTGTGGCTGCTTTTACAGCTTCTGTTTTTTCCATTTTACTAAGCAGCTTTGTGATTTGTATTACAGTAGGGTCTCAAAAGTGGTAAGATTACATGGTCTGATGGTGGAGTTTGTGTGCAGTAGTTTTGGCTGAGTAAGTAAATGAAGTATTTTATTCTAGACGGAGGTAGAATAACTATCTAGACTGCTCTTAATTCAAAGGAAAGGAACCCTATGGCACTGAAAGTAGGCTTCAGAGGAAAAAAGTATTTCAACTGAAAGATGCTAGCCTGTGTTTCTGAACTTCTAAGTAGTCTGTAGTTACTTCATGGCCTTGGTTCCCTAACTTTAAAAGGAGGATAGAAAGACTTTCTCCATTTTGTGTCTTAAGTTGTGGGTTTGGATATTTAGATCGTATTACAGTGACCGTAGGGATTTCAGTATGCTGTGGCAGTGATCTTCTGTATAAATAGTGTTTTAAAGGCAACCACCAGAAATTAGAAGCTGTATTGTGATGAAACCTGTTTCTAGAATACGCTTGGGTTAGGGGTATCTTAGATTTTTGAAGTGATCCCACAACTGGACCGCTATGGAGAATAACCAATTTTTCTATTTTTTTAAGATGGAAGAAATGTATAAAAAAGCCCATGCTGCTATACGAGAGAACCCAGTCCATGAAAAGAAACCCAAGAGAGAAGTCAAGAAAAAGAGGTAAGTAAAACTCTCACCCTCTTTAACATGAAGGTGACTTCTCTGTTGAAGATATTTTAGTTAAGTAATGTGATTCACACTGCAGTTGTGTCAAAAGTAATAAGTGGTTTAGAGCTGATGAAGAAACAAGCATTTCTGTACAACTTTGTCAGGAGTTAACATTAGCCTAATCTTAAATCTAAAATTTAAGAGCCTTCAGCTGTATGTGAAAAAAATACTAGAAGTGGAGCATGCTTGTGGCTTGAATAGCTGGAACTCTGAAGTCTGTGTCTTCAGGTCTGCGCTTTCGGTATGAAAGCTGCTTCGTTTCAGAAGACAGGCTGATTTGTCAGTGCTAAGCCATTTTGATTTTTCAGGGGTCTGGGAGGAAAGAAATAAAGGCACAGCTACCGCATTAGGCTTGCTACATCTATACTCTAGTTACAAGGATGCTGAGCTTACCTCTTGAGGAATTGGCTAGGGAAGTGATTGTTGCCCTCTACTTGGCTCTGGTGAGGCTGTACCTTGAATACTGTGTTCAGTTTTGAGCCCCTTGCTACAGGAAGGACATAGAGGTGCTCAAGAGTGTCCAGAGAAGGGTGACAAGGCTGGTGAATGGTCTAGAGTACAAGTCCTTTGAGAAGCGGCTGAGGGAGCTGGGGTTGTTTAGCCTGGAGAAGGGGAGGCGTATGGGAGACCTTGTTGCTCTTTACAACTACCTGAAAGGAGAAGTGGGTGTTGATCTTTTTCCCCAAGTGACAGGACAAGAGGAAATGGCCTCAAATTGCACCAGGGGAGCTTTAGATTTAAAAGATGGATGGATGAGGCACTCAGGGATATGGTTTAGCAGTGTTAGGCTAAGTGTTGGACTTGATGATCTTAAAGGTCTCTTCCAACCTAAGAGATTCTATTAATTCTATTGGTGCAGTCTCACCGTGCCTTTTTGTGGTGCCTTAATTACAGCCTTAAATCACTATGAGGAAATGAAGTGTGTTACAGAAGTGGGAGTATGTTCTAGCATTGTACTCCTAATAACAGTTTTGGTGCTGTCCAGTTTTCTTGTCCACCTTTTTGCCTATTTCCGCCTGGATATAGCATATGCTGTGCTTCCATTGCAGGTGGAACTGTCCCAAGATGTCCCTCGCCCAGAAGAAAGATCGCGTTGCTCAGAAGAAAGCTAGCTTTCTCAGGGCCCAGGAGCGCGCAGCTGATAGTTAAGACAACTTCCACAGTTTTCAATGAAGCTTTGGAAAAAGTGGCAATAAATTTATTGAGTAAGCAACTGTGTAAGACTGGCTTATTAAAAAATATTCTGCATCTTTGGAAGATGTGTTATACTTCAGATAGTCTGTGGCATGAAGGTTTTTCCCCCCTTCCAAGTACTGTATCAACTAAACCCCTTCACAGAGAAGAGAGGTAACAGACTTCCAAAGCAATGCTGCTGCATTGGAATTATTCCTACAAGAAGGGGAAATAAGTTTCTCTTTCATGTGACTAGTATCAAAGATCAGTTATAAGAACTTGCTGCTCCTAACTATAGAATACTTTCATTTTTTAAAAAGGGCTTTACCCGTCCTTCTCCATTTTTTTTTTCATCACAGATTCCTCCCTAACATTAAGTACGTAGCATAGGAAAGAGCAGGAGCAGTCACGGTATGTGCTAAAGCCTCAGGAACGCAAACAGCAATGCTGTCCCTACTGTGACTTAACTGTTGGTGATGGAGGAACACATGTCTAACTGAAGTATTTGAAATTCTCCCGTAACTGAAGTAAGCACTTCCACGTACTCAGGGCCAAGCTGGGCTGCTGCTGAAACAGGTACTGTCTTAAGCTGAAATACTTTAGTGATTAGACAGGAGAATTCACTTTTAAGTTGCATATATGGTTAGAGGCCATGACTTGCCCCCATCCCTTATTTTCTCCTACATCTCAGTTTCCTAAGTTTTGCCCATTAGCGTGAAGTTGCTTGCACAGTTAAAATAGGAGTCATGTGGGCTACACAGGAATGTTTAGAGATACTGAGAGATGGTAAGTGCTATTGAAAGAGAGAAAGGAGGGCTGTGGTTTATTGTAAATAAGTTGTTTTTCCAATGAAGGCTCTAACAACAATAATGGAAGTTCTGTACAACAAAATGCACTATTAAACGTGTTCCAGTTGTTTAAGATACCCAACATCATTTTAGATTCAGTAATCTCTGCCCAAAACCTAATAGCCAGTCTAGTCAGATTTTTCTACAGGCGAGTACCTTGCTGGCTGTACTAGCTCATGGTTGGAGGACACTGTCAAGTTAGAGACAAGAGTCAGCATAGTAACTCTTAAACTAAAAAGCTGATGTTAAAAAAACAATACAGTCTTAACCCCAGCTGCCTACTATTACATATGCTATTGAGGAACAACGCTGTTGTTCCTGTACTTCAGTTTAATCATTCAAGGAATGCATTTGATAGAGGACACCTAAAGCAATTAATAACCATTCAAATATTTAAACAAAACTTGTCCTTACCTATGCTGAAAAACAATTAAGGGGCCAGTGTTTAGAAGCATATGGATGACTGCCATTAAGATCATTAGGGATTGAACTAGTTCATACCTAAAGCATTTATAAATGAAACAACAACATTAAGAACTGAGCACAGCATTAGGTGTTTTATGGACATTCAGTTCTGTGAGCACAGATGCAAATCTGAGAAACAACAGGGTTGCAGATTCAAGGTGGTAGAGTGGTCATGCCCCCACAACCAGATGGTCTTTAATTACTCACGACTTGAGACTTAACAATGAGTCATAAATGCTACTAGAAAATAAGATAGCAGCACACTACAGCTCACTTAAGTTCCACCTCATTCCTAGCTGTTACTGTGTCACGGGCTCCCATTCAAGTGATATTCCATGATCCTGAAGAATCCAGCTTCTGTCTTACAGTTCAGGCCTAGCTCTGGCTTACAGATTTCCCGCTCAAGAGGGTTTTAAGTAAAAATGCGTAGCTAGATTTGGAGGGACAGTAAGGAGCCAGGACTATCCACCGCTGTTACCTGTTTCACATAAAATGCAGCAGATACCGAGGCTATGCAAGCTTCCTTTTTTAAAACTGTTAGGACATATCTGCTATCAGTATTTCTAAAAATTAATTTCGGTTCTCAAAATACCTTAGTCCACAAATGCCTTGCTTTTCAATTATTTCCTGCAGCTTAACTTGGGTTAGAGGTTTAAATGGAAATACAATAATTACAAATTTTTTAAACAGATGTTTATATTGCTGCTAGACTATATACATATTAAGAAATAACATACTCAAATTCTTGGCTCCCAATGTGGTTTACCGTATAAGGACTTAAAAAGTGTTGAACTACTTAAACATTCAAGATGTAAGCATGAGGTAACAAGGTGTAAACAGAATCTGATTTAAGTCTTACGTCACAACCTGTCAGTTCTACAATAAAACTAGTTTTCCACAGTTTAAAAATCCATGTGCAAATTCTGCCATGCCAAAGTATTAGTAAACTTCAGTCTCGCAGTTCAGTTTGTTCACAACAGCAGCTTCGACTCGGACAAATGTTATTTGCAGTAGTGGTGGTGTTCATGAAACTACTTGGGATAAAAATCCTTTGCAGGTATTCCGCAGGTGAGCAAAGCTTTTCACAGGGTTTAAGATGTTCCATCAGCTGATGTGGTGGCACAGTGAGTACTTCCATCATGTTCAAAATCTGGCAAAGCGCACAAAACAGTCAAGCATGCAGAGTTTGTTTCCGTAACACAGCACAGAACACCAGAAGTGCTTCTGGCCTCTGCCTGATCGCATTTGGCAAGAAGCCCTGTCATAAGGGGGGGCTGAAGGGCAAGAGTCAGAGAGCCATCCATAAAATCTGATTAGTGAAACACTTAAAAAAACCCACTGCAGATAGTTTTTGCATCAGTCGTATCTTCTGCTGGTGGAGAAGCTAAGAATCATTTGTATGGGAAATTTTCTTCCACAGTAAAGTTTTTAAGTTATTGAGTATTAAAGAATGTTCCATTTCCATTTGATTTGCTGTGACTTTAAGGGCAATGCACAAGTACAGTTGTTTTTCTAGTTCTTCGTGAATATCTGAAGGGGCACCACGAAGCAGATAGTCTTTAAGTAGCTGACAGGCTTTTGCCAAGTTTGGCTGAATTACTTCCGTGGTACATCTCATTTTACTTTGGTCACACAGAGTTCTACAGTCTGTACCATAAATACAGTCCAAATCTGATTCACACTGACGATCTTTAATTATTTCCTTCAAATTCATTTCTGGCACAATTTTTCTCATGTCCAGCATTTTCAAATCATATTTATCATTATATCCCAAGTTTTTGGCACTTGTATCACACATAAGAAAGTTTCCATAAGGTCCATGGAAAATATCTTCCACAAATTCTAAAAGCCCTATAGCTATTTTTGCCTTTCGTGGCCATGAAGGAGTAAACCATTGGTCCATACTTCTCCTGAAGCCAGAGGGAATGAAGAGTTCTATAATCCATGGAAGGCTGATTCCATAGAGAGAGGAATATTCAACTCTTTCAGTCACGTAGAGATCCCCACAAAAGCCCATCAACTTGGGAGTATGTTCTTTATCCTGCAAGATCACCATTAACAGAAACTCATCTAGGTGCAGAAGTGCCCATGCGGATTTTGCCTCTGGCAAAGAAACTCTACCATCTTTGTTTCCATCAGCAAAAGACAGGATGAGATTGACCAGTTCTGAAAGACTTGCTTGTTCACCCAATTTTGCCTAAAAGCAACAAATGAAAAAGATTAAGCATGATTTCATTAACTACCACCAATCCACCTGTCATTCTACCTCCTGTTACCCTCTTTCTATGGATAGTGTGGTAGGGCTTGTTATTTTCTAGTCTTCAGTGGTTACAGATGTTATGGGACTTCCTACCAGATGCCTGAAGAGGTTCCTTTTTGTTCTGTTTCCAAAGGCACCAATATATGATCTTCTGAAAGTACTAGCACTCCGTGCATTTCAGAATGCAAACATTAAAATTCAAATACTGTTCTTGGTCAGATGAGTCTTCAGAAAGATCACATCAGGTAGCTTGTTAAATATGCTCTTAGAAAAAGTATGTAGAATTCTATTGTTTAGGTCAGCTTTAGTTTTCAGCTGATTACGCCATACAGGTGTAGAGAAGTTACGGTATCAACTACATTTTGGCCAACTATAGAGTGCCATTTGTACACTGGGTACAAATCCCCTACGATAAGCATACGAAAACACTTCATTTCGTATTTTGATACAACCACCTCTGTTGCATCCACACAGAGAAAGGAGCCATTGCTGGAATCAGAGCTGTTTTAATTTCAGCTACCGCCACCACACACAGAAAGTCAGATAAACTTCTCCCAACCTTTCCTAAAAACTAGTCTAAAAACACCTACTGCTCACGTATTCTTAGAGCCAAAGCTACTGTAATGCATGACCACTGTCATCAGCTTTACATAATCATGTTTCATCTGTGTGCATGTGTACACATATGCTCACTCAGCCAAAACAGCATTATTTCCATCACCAGAGACATAGGAACTATAACAACAGGAAGATAATTTTGAGAAAGAAAACCCAAAAATCAGTATTCACACAGCAAAGAGATGACTGCATTATGAGAACTCTAGGGTAGCATTAAAACAGTAAGTATTTAATTCATATAACACAGAAAGAACTGGGACAAGTATGGCTGGTCACTCTGGTTAGCGAGTTCACCACTGCCTAGTTAACACAGCAACTCTTCCCAAGCATGAACAGTTTTCAAATTGTACTTCAGTCTTTGTACCCAGTTACAATAACCCAAAAGCAGAAAAAAACCCAAACCAAAACCCCACCATATTTTCTATGCAAATAGAATTGAAAGCTGCAGACATCCAAGATGCATACCAGCTTCCTTCCATCTGTTAAAAAGTAAGGAAAAAAAAGAATTAGTTACTTCCAACTTTGAGCTAAGACCTCTGGGAAAAAACTTTTTCTGTGCTGACTGTATTTCTAACTTGCACTTGAGTAAGACTCATACAATATGGCATTCTCTCCAGCTGCAGGAAAGTAAGCCTTTCTGTCAAAGTAGAATAAATAAGCATACACTTACTTTAAAAAGACCATATACCATTTCTTTGAATTTCTCAACAGTGGTTCCTCGTGTTGGTTTATCAAATAGGACTATTTCCTTCCTTGGTTCTGGGTCAGTACCAAATTCAAGTTGAGCAGCTTCTTCCATCTGGCATTTTATAACACCTTGCAGATTCCCCCAGATTCCTAAATAAATCTATGCAGGAAAAGAGGTAAAGAGGTAAAAAACACCGTAGAAGCCCATCATCCAAAGGCCAGCTGTACTCCAACCACTGCTTCAGCAGTCAAACAGCAAGACAGATTAGAAGACAGGGTCCTGCATACAGACAATGCACAGAGCACATTCAGACACTGGCAACTTCAAATACAATACACTACTGTGGGTACTTTGGAGACACCACACTGTCAAAATACAAAGGCAGCTTGACACACAGGACATTGGCATTACTACCATCTTTGCATACACTGTTAAGAGGCTGCTGCTCCTATTTGGGAAGCAGGATAGCAGAAACAGTATGCTGTACAGAAGTATAGCTATTCTGTCAAAGTGTGGTAGGATCCAGTATATTTTACATAAGTTCCTAAAATACGTGTACTATCAAATAATAATACAATCCTCTACATATAGAAATAGGATTATATATAGACATGTATTGTATATAATACATTTTTAGCAACATATAGTATGCCTGTATGTTCTCTATATACGGGTATATAAACATGCTCTGCATGTCAGCAAGTAGAGTTTGAAATAACGTGTCAAACAGATAAGGCTTGATGACACTAAGGTCTTCTTGAGCGTCTAGAGAATGGCATTTCCATGGGGAATAATACAACTCAGGTGAATGAGTAAATTCCTACCTGGTTATTGGGCTTTGTGGACAAACATTTTCCAAAATACAAGGTTTCTTTAGCACAAAGACTGCTACATGCTGACCCATCAATAACACCAGTCTTGTATTTATCACACTGAAACAAACAGGGAGAAAAATGTTTAACAGACTGCCTAAGAAAGGAGGCAACAGCTAAATCTCTCCCAGCACCTGACTCTTGAAAGCAAAATCTAAGAAAACAATTTCAATTGTCTTATACCAAAACAATGTTAAAAACAAACCTGGTTTTATCTGCAATTGAAGATGTTACTTCAGCATGTTGAAATATCGGAATTTGATTAATTTACATGTGGCACTAACTGAAACGCCTTTGCAATCAGTCAGGACAAACACTCAAGGAAACTATGCTAAATATACTTACTATTATTTTCCTACAGTCATGTCCTCTGCATAGTTCTGTGTAGGTGGAGTACTGGGCATACATAACCCAGCTGCCAACAAACACTACTAACCAAGAGATGAAGAGATACTTCATCCACATATATGAGAAACGTACCTAAAGGACACAACGAGAAAATATTCTTTGTAATTCATTCAGTAGTCAGAATGCTAGAAACAAACACGATTTACTATTTCGCCCTTAGGGATTTGACTTGCACAATGATAAAGAAAGCAGACTGCATTACACGGAACATTCACTTCCTTCAGTGAGCACAACTGACAGGGGAAGTCAGTTTGACTTATGTAGGGGGAAGGAAAAGTATTATATAAATAAATAAAATAAAACATGACAGACCCTTATAGGGCAAGCCAGGCTGCAAGAAGCAATTTTATCTAAGTCATAAACTTTTAGAGCTCAACTACTTTCACTGTCTCTAAGAGCAGTTACTTATGTTCCACTCCTGGTAAACCACATCCAACAGACCAGGAATCTGGTAAAAAAATAATCTGTGTTAATAAATATGCAAAATAGATATACCATGAGCAGGGTGGGTATCAGGGACAGGTTTCTTGTGCTTAAGTCTCCCAGTCCATCCTTGAAATTAACCATTTAATTATGCAAGTAAAATTCCACTGTACTAGCCTCACCCGTAACTGTATGCAAACTGCTGCTGTTTCTGTGGCCTCACATTTACTTTTTTTGTAGGGACAGAGGAAAAAAGTATGTATAAATTAAGAATCGAGAGCTAAGCGCCTCGTAAGGGAAGAAGCATCTGTTGATCCTTTTTTTTCCCCCTCCTCTGAGCGTGGTGTGCTAAGGTTTGATTTTCATACTTGTATCATGATTAGAAAATAATGAGAAAGCAGGGATCAGCTTTAGCAACAGGGTGTAAGGAAAGTGCATGAGAGCGGCTATATTGGTCAGTATGAGATCCATTTCTACCCGTATCCTGACCTACAGCAATAGCTGTAGAGGCACTTGAAAAGTGAGAACATAATACATATCCCAAATGTGCTCCCATTTTCCTCTAGAAGAACTTGCTAAGCCAGATGTGATTTTCTATATTTAGTAAATCTCAAGCTATTTGTCTTTCGTGAACTTACCCAGACTCCTTAAAATCCACATAAGCTTTTAGCATCCACAACAACCTTTAGCCGTTAGTTCCACAGTTCTACTATCCACTGTACTGGGGTCAGGGAATGGACTTCTTTTTGCTTAAATCTGGTTCACATTATCGTTGAAGTCATGAATTCATGTATTGGAAGAGATGAGTTATCAATTTCTGTCCATTCTCTCCACATTTGTCATGATTTTGTGAGCCTCCATCACATGACTCCCTGTCATGTCATCTCTTTCCAAATTGACAGGTCTTAATTCAGCTGTTCCTCATAGAGAAACCATCCCATATGCTTGGAAAAGGTTCCGAGAATGGTAGGAATGATGAGCAGTTTTGCCGTCATACATACATACCAAGTCAACCCGTCTTACATACACTAATTTCAGATGGTGCCATCTGCGTGGGAGAAAAAGCACTGAAATAATTCTAAATTACTGCAATTTGATAGTAACTACCTTCAAATCACAGTAAATTGAATACATGGCTTCAGCTTTTAAGTATTTTATGTTTTAGAAAAAAAGTTACAAAAGAAAATCTTCCACAAATATAGCAAGATCTTCAAAGATATGTTTCCTTTTCTAAATATAGAAAGTACTCTAAATACAGAATGTATTTATTTTTAAGGGAAGTAAAATCAATGAAGCAGTTCTAGTCACTTGAACTGTAGCTTGGTTTAACACCCATAAAAAAACTCACTTTTTCAGGCCCTAACAAAAGAAGTATAATCCCTAGGTACAGGAGTCCTACTCTCAACCTAGAGTGGTTCCGAGACTTCCACCATAATTCATCTCATGAATCAGTGTATGCCTTCACGCAGGCACTCACTTCATCCAAAGGCTAAACAGGAAGTGTATCTTAACCCCATATAGTTCTATAAGGAACATCAAGTCTCAAAGAAAAGCAGGAATTAAAACTGCTATGAAAGATGATGCTTTATGGCTTAGCCCTTAATTTTACATCCTCTTATCATTCCACTTTATAGCATAGTAATTAAAAAAAAAAAAGGGTATTTGTCAGTCAAGGGGAAGGTACACGTGTGGTGTTTTAACACTGTCAAGTGTAGCAGAGCAGCCCTGAATTCCATGTGATGACTCATTCTGTAAGAAAGACTGAAAGCCTTTTAGCTATATTCCAAGAAGAGGGTAGATACCCGTTATGCCCAAACAACCCTAAGAGACAATGCTGCCGAAGTCAAAGCCCTCTCTCCAAGGAAGCCTTAATTCCTGCCCCTTCACCCCCTCACCTCCCCAACAAAACCACCAAAAAGACCATGGCAACAGCATGAACAATATTACCTAGTTTTAAAATGCAGGAAAAACACAGAAGCGCAGCAGATGTGAATAGTCAGCTTTATTTTTTTATCTAGAAAGACTACAATAACTTACAAGTACTTATAAAATGCAACAACCAGCATGCATTATACTGTTGCTTCTTGGAAGAAATATTCCAAGAAAGGTCAGCTCCAAAACGCCTAAAGGTGATGCCAATCCATGCAGCTGCAGTCCTGCCACATACCTCAGCCATGCATCCCTATTCCTTACTCCTTCACACACCCTCACCTGACTTAGCTTAAAACTACCTAGTTAAAAGAAGAGATGGATACAACTAACTGCTATTATTCTGGGGATAAACCTTGACCGTATAGTTCCTTCAACCAGTTCTTCTTTTATGGTATTTTTATTGGGAGTGTTGAAAGAGAGTAATTTCTGGTATTTTCCTCAGATCTGCCAAGACCTTTGTTGAGTACCATGTAATTTCCTTTGAAGCATCATATCCACAATATGGATACAAGCTGGATGGAGTACAAAAGGAGACCAACAATAATTCTGTGTGGTTTACAGCACATTTAGAAACAGCTTAGAAAACATGAGAGGAAGCTGGGGGTAAGGAGGACAGAATGGCCAAGAAAACAAAACAGACAGGAAGGGGCTGGGGAGCATCAAAAACCCACAAGTACCATATATAAGCCTTTCCCATTGAAAGAAAACTGCTAAGATGACAGAATTGCAAGACTTCAAGTGCAATCCTAGCTTAAAAAAAACCCCAAAAACAACACAACAAAATTCTGCACCTACATGCTTACAACAAGAAGAATCACAAACTTCTTGCAAACCACACCACCTGAACTAATCAAAAGCAGTAGAAGTCATCCTACGTGTGAATCAGCAGTAAGGGAGAACTGGTACTTTACCAGTAGGTTCAGAAATAGTTCCCCCTCCCTCCCACTCTCTACAGAAGATAACTGAAATCTTAGTTGAAGCTCAGGTGGACTCAGCCTCATCTATTTTCTTCCAGCCCATTTTCTATTCTTAGTCATTCACAGTTTTCACTTACTAGTTTCCTTCCAGTACCCATCTCACCCCAATGGCTTCACCAGTCTTAGTGTCCCCCTCCTGAACCACACATTATCTGCTATTCTTTTTCTTCCAGTCTATTTCCATCTGATCCGGCAAGTTCCCATCTTCCTCTACTCTGTTCCATTCTCAATTAGGTATCCAGCACTACTCAGTGCCTCATCCACCTCTCCTTCTCCAGTGCAACTTTCCTACTTCAGAATCCTTGTCCTGGACTACTGTCCACACACAAAGTGCAGTTATCCACAAGCATTCTTCTTCCACAGATCTGGGAAGCCAGCAGAGATGGTACAGCAAAGCACTAGGGATGTCTCCCTGATCTCACTTCCAGAACCAAAGGAAAGCTGTAAGCAGGGCAGATGGATTCTTTGAACTGGTTAGTTCTTACACCCACACTCCCCAAAATAAACCAAAACAAAACCAGAGAGAACCAGTCTTCCCAGCAGATGTGTCCCAGAAAGCCCATGTTAGCTGGCCTGAGGCAGCCCTCCAGCAGAGGTCTCTTCAAACACAGTTTTGAACTGAGAGGTGAACCAAACCAGTACATAATACTTAAGTTACAGGGCTGATGGATCGACCCATATGGATCAGTTGTGAGGATACAACCAGATTTTTCTCAGACCATCTACAGAACACAATATGCTTTTACTCTGCTCCTTCACACCTTATGCTGGTTGAAGGACAAATGATACATCCTAGTTTTAGCACTTAGAAATAAGAACTACTATAGTATAGTCATGCAGGTTCAATGTCTTCTGTAATAATTTATTTACTTTGATTTGTTCTTATACCACCTAAAAACTCAAGGTTTCATAACACAGAGCTTATTTTTTTGCTGGTTTTGACATAGTAACGATACCAATGAGTGCTCTGCAGTACAGTTCCTGAAATGATCTAACTAGGCGAGTCATTCATCTAGTTTAACTTTGGCCTAACGTTTCTGTAACCAGATACAGCACACAAAGAATGTCTTGGCAAGCACAATGAGATACAGCAGCTTCTGAAGAGAGGTACAAAAGCTATTTGTAATTAAAGCATGGTATTTTGCTTAGTTATCAATAACTGAATATAATCTGATTTAGCAGTGAAGGCATGTTCATTAATTTTTTGTACTCATTGTTTTGTCAGGATTGACTTTCAGTCAACTGCACAAGCAGCTGCCCATTATTCCCACTTCCACTCCCTTGCTCAAATCCTCTGTCAAAGGTTACTCCACATAGCAGAGTCTGTAGAAGCGAACACACTCAGGTCTCATTCTGAAAGTCATCCTCTTCATGAAAAAACATTTTCCCCGAAGTTCCCACTAGTCCAACAAATAATGAGCTGGAGTAGCTAAGGTATGGGCGCATGCACACTCTCCCACTTTAGCTGTATCTACAGTGAACTAATGGAGCGTGGGGTTGGAGGAGCATCCTGCACTACCCCAGCAATGCTCCACAGGGCTCAGCTGTTAGCCCCCTTACTAAGCACAATTAAGATGTATGTGTCTGGCTGAAATGAGAATGCCTGTGTTGGCATACAGAACTAACTTAAGAAATTTTGTTTTCCATCTAAATATATACCCCCAGCCTAATATTATGAACCTAATCTCAGACAATGTTTCATCAACACAACTATCACACACACACGCCAGCAACAA